AGCGGTGGACACACACACACACACACACACACACACACACACACACACACACCTGCTTGCATGCAAGCTCCCAGTGAATGGCACACACACATTAACAGAAAACTAAATAAGTAAATAGATAAATAGATAAAAATAAATTAGGATTGGAGATACAGCTCAAATCAGTAGTGTATTTCCCTTGCAGACACAAAGCTCTGGTTATATCATCACCAGCACTACATAAAAACAAACAAACAAAAAAGCAGGCTGCCCAACAATTTAGAGTAGTGGTTGCTCTTCCAGAGGACCTGGATTTGATTTCCGGTACCCACATGATGCTCACAATTGTCTATATCTCCAGTGCAGGGAAGCCAGTACCCTCTTCTGGCCTCTGAGGGCACCAAGTGCCAGGCACACGGGTGATGCGCAGACATACATACAGGCAAAACACACAATAAAACAGAACAGAAGTTAAAGACACAAAGCAACAAACAAAAAACAAACAACAAAACAAAACAAAAAAATAAACCATAGAGGAAGGGAAATATTTCTTCTACGCCTAGGTGACGGAGGGGGTCCAGCAGGAGGGCCTTTATTTTACCTCCTTGAACTGTGGGTGTGCAGCGTCCTTTACCAGTTGAAGAATCAGAACTTCGCTGGTAGACAGAAAGACACCACTCTGTCTCATCCGATCCAGTGCCACCAGCCGGTTCAGCTCGCTGCAGAGGGCAGAGCAGGAGAGGACAAGGATCTAACTAAGCTGTGCCACATCTGTGTTGAGGGACAGTTTCCTCTCAATGGAAACACTCCCTTCAGGTGTGTGTGTGGGGGGCTCATGAGACTCAGGAGGTAAACCAGAGGCCATTCGTGGGGCTGGAGAGACGGCTCAGTGGTTAACACTCGAGACCCTTGCAGAGTACCTGGGTTCAATTCCCAGCACCCATATATAGTAGCTCATGGCCATCTGTAACTCCCATTCCGGGCGATCTGACGCCCCCTTCTGGCGTCTGCAAGCACCGGGCATGCATGCGAATGTTTTCTATACATATACATAAGCAAAACATGCATCCACAAATAAAATGAAAATTTAAAAGGCCACATGCCCAGGAAAGCAGACGCTTGGAAGATTCTCAGAGGCCCTTTCCCAGCTTTAGAAAAGAGGGCAACAACTGTCAGAGGGGACTCCCACCAGCTGTGGAGCAGCTAGGGAGAGGAGACTTAGCTGTAAGAAGAGGCTCTGGGACAGTTGAGCTGTCCGCTCAACCTGTGTAGAGCCTGAGTCTTCAACCAGTGTTGACTTGGGCTCTTCAGCGGTGCACCCTCACCGACATTCCCGTTAGTAACCCCAATAAAAACTCAAAGCTTCACGGCTAGAGAGATGGCTCAGCAGTTAAGAGCACTATCTGCTCTTGCAGAGGACCTGAGTTCAATACCCAGCACCCACAAGGCAGCTCACAGCTGTCTATAACTCCTGTTCCAGCAGACCTGACACCCTCATACTAATGCATATAAAATTAAATAAACAATTTTTTTTACAAAACAAGAAATTGAGCCGGGCGTTGGTGGTGCATGCCCTTAATCCCAGCACTCAGGAGGCAGAGGAAGGTGGATCTCTGTGAGTTCAAGGCCAGCCTGGTCTACAGAGTGAGTGCCAGGATAGGCTCCAAAGCTACACAGAGAAACCCTGTCTCGAAAAACCAAAAATAAAATAAAATAAAAAACAAGAAATTGATTCAACTGTTTGACATTGGTTTTGATACAAAGCTTACATCGGTTCCTTTTCTGGGGCGAGTAGATGTCTGAGTGCTGGAATTCCCCAGGAAACATTTGTCATACAACAATATGACACATGGCCAGTGCCCCAGATGTCCCCAACACACACCCAACACAGGGTGACCTTCTCACCTTCTAGAAGAGCAGGCATCCACCGCCACATGGACCTGTAGCCCTCGGTCCAGGAGGTCGAGGGCCGTGTGCTAAGGGGCAGAGAGAGGTCAAGGTGAGACTCAGAGTAGACCAGTGGACCCACTGAGGGCCTGAGCATCCTAGACCAGAAGCAAACACTGAAACAGCAGGTGAGAGCGGCTCTCGTCAAAGCTAGGGCCACGTGAGCAGGGGAAAGGACATGAGAGGGCTAGCAGGAAGATTAGGGACCCCTGAGGACAAGGAGTCTCACCAAGATGCAGCCTTGGGTCTCAAGGCCACAGAGCAGCACCGAGCGCAGCTGGGGCCGTTTGTCCAGCTCCTGCTGCAACGGGGGCACCATACTAAAGCAGGTTTTGCTCATGGCTTGTAGGCCCTGAGCACCCAGCTCGGGAACTGTGGGGCCCAGGCCTTGTGGGTACTGCTCCGTCAGCAAGACAGGGACATCCAGCAGCCGGGCCACCTGTATGGGAGGGAAAACATTGTGCTGGGACCCAAATATGAGGGCTGAGGACAAGATTCTTGGGTCTGAGGGATGAGGGTTGCGGGCTACACTCTTGGGTCTTGGGAAGGAAAAGTTAGCATGTACCTACCCCCCCCTTTTGGTTTTTCGAGACAGGGTTTCTCTGTAGCTCTGGAGGCTGTCCTGGAACTCATTCCGTAGACCAGGCTGGTCTCGAACTCACAGAGACCCAACTGCCTCTGCCTCCCGATTAAAGGCGTGAGCCACCACCACCTGGCATAGTTGGCACGTACCTTAAGCATCCGAGCGGCCATTGACACGATCTGTGGGAAGTAGAGGACTTTGCCTCGAAGTTTCTCCTGCATGTCACATAGGAACAGGATGCAGGACTCGGGGAGGATCCGGCCCAGGCTAGCCCTGGCTGCTGCCATGGTCTGGGGGTGGACAGAGGGACAGTAGGCAGGGTCAGGCGGGGACAACGGTTCAGGGGTTCATTCAGAGTCTGTGCACTTGGCTCTGTGGCCCATGAATTTCATCTTACTGCTTCTACCTCTGGGCCCTTTTATCTGTTGTTGTGTGGCCTGGGATTACCCCCCTCCCTTCCACCCTCCTGCCCAGTTCATAGGTGAGAATACTTGCCCACCAAGTCATTTTTTAAAAAGATCTTTCTTTCTGTATCATGTATATAGTGCGTGCCAGAAGAGGACACCAGATCCCATTACAGATGGCTTTGAGCCACCATGTGGTTGCTGGGAATTGAACTCAGGACCTCTGGAAGAACAGTCAGTGCTCTTAACCCCTGAGCCATATCTCCAGCCCCCGCCCACCAACGTCTTATCGGAGCAAGTCTACCTTGTTCCCACCACCACTGTCAGCCTCCCAGAATGCACCTCCCTTTTCTGCTCCCCAAATTGTGTACAGTGCTGGCACGTAATGCAGTCACCTCTTTCTACCTGTCCTTAATGGAGGTCACTCAGGCTTCCACCCCCTGGGAAAACTGAGGTCTGAGCATAATGTCACCATAAGGTGACCCACTCAGGGACATACAGATCTTGGACACTGTCTTTGAGGCATCTCTATAGCCACAGGGGGCTGGAGAGATAGCTTAGCCATTAACAAGTAGGCTCACAATAAAAAAAAAAAAAGTAAGGAAAAGTGCCACACGGTCTTGCTACCATAGCCCATGCAGGTCTTAAACTTAAAATCTTCTTGCTTCAGCCCCCTGAGTTCTAGGATAGCAAGCATGTGCCACACTCCCAGCTTGGCCAATACTTCCTTCTAGCTCAGTTTGTCTACGTGTGAAACACCATGGCTGAACATCTATCTGGGTCTGGGAAAGAGAGGGTGGTGTCCCCACAGGATGGGTATTAAGAAACCACAGAATGTAACAAACCGCCTAACATGTACTTGCTACAGCACAGAACCGCCAAAATGTTATGTTTAGTTAAAGACACCAAAACACACGGCACGATCCATTCATATGAAATGGCCAGAATAAGCCACGTGTAGTCGCTCACACAGTAACCCTAGAGCCCAGGACAGCAAGAATCGCTGAGTTCTTTTCAAGGGTGGCTTGAGGTGCATGAGCTCCAAGGTAGCCTGGGCTGCAGAGTTTTGAGTAGCCAAGAACAGAGCTGGCCAGATGGCTCAGTGGGTAAAAGTGCCTGCCAATGAACCTAAGGACCCACGGCTGACTGGACTCTGGTGGAAGGAGGTAACCAACACCCAAGAGTTGTCCTCTGACCTCCTTATACATACACCCCCCACACATGCTGTGGAATATTATTTTAACGAGGCAAAGATACATTACATTTGCTTATGCTGCAGAATAATACTTGAACTGTGTAAGGATGTGTTCCATTTATTCACGCTGCATTTGTTGAACGATGCAAGGATGTGTGTTTATTTGTGTACAAATGTGCTGCCTTTGTTTACCTTGCCAAGGCACCCGGTTGGTCTAATAAAAAACTAAACGGCCAACAGCCAGGAGAAGCAGGATAGGCAGATCTGGCAAGTGGAGTGTGGTAATATGTTATTTATGATTTATTAAAGCTTCTCTGAGGATTCAGAATGCAAAGTCAGCCACAAGCCATAGAAGCCAGGCTCACACCTTTAATCCTGGGACTCAGGATTAAGAGGTAGACCGATCTCTGTGAGTCCAAGGCCACCCAGATCTACACAAGATTGATCCAGTCCTAAAGAGAAACAGCTTACACAAAGGTGGTTGCAGCATCTGGGATTACACGCCTTTAATCCCAGCATTAGGGAGGTATATAAGACAGGAACAAGGTCTCAGTCTCAGGCATTCATTCTACAGCCACGCTTAGAATAGGAACGCCCCAGCCCTGTTAGAGGTATGAGCTCTCTGGAAGCTTGGCTGCTTTGCTTCCCTGATCTTCAGGCTGAATCCATACATCTGTCTCTGGGTCATTTATTTTTCGTGCTACAGCAGACAGGGTAAGTAGAAGGAGGAATCTAGAGATAAGAAGAGAAGAAGGAGGAAAAAACAAGGGAGAGGGTGACACACTTGGGGCCAGAAGCCGAGCAGCTGCCAGCCAGACACAAGAAACAAGAAAGTAAGACATACATAAAGAAAGGTAAAAAGCCCCAAGGCAAAACATAGATGAAGAGAAACAGGTTAAGTTCTAAGAGCTAGCAAGAAACCAGCCTAAGCTAAGGCCAAGAATTCATAACTAATAATGTCTCCATGTCTTGATTTGGGAGCTGGTTGGTGACCACCACTCCCCAAAAGGAAAACCTGGTACACACACACACACACACACACACACACACACACACACACAC